GAAGACAGATGGAACACGGATGAAGAGCAATCCTGCACCATCTAAAGTTACATACATCGTATACGTTGGATGTGTTCTACATCCGTGACCACTTAAGAAATTTAATTTATTATTCTTTTAATTGTCACGGTGCCAGATTATTTTAAACCATCAATTTAACAACATAACATCAGGGAAAGACAACACAGATCTCCTCCTCTGAAACGTCCGAGGTTATCTTTTGTATCTTAATAACTCCCAGAAATTGTTAGATAATACTGTTTTACCCAAGTCTGATTGAAGATCAGGTTTTAAGCTAATGACAATTCTCTCGGTGTGCTGACACAGAAATATTAAAAGAGTACAAGAAAAGCCCCATCAGCTATCATTACCGTGAAATCAGCCTTATCAGTGAACCACATCATCAACATCAGCTAACAGGCCAAACTAATGTGGTTCAAATTGAAAGATGTAGGTTACAATGCGGTCGGTATGATTTAATAGTTTGTACACGGGTTAGTCCACATGGGGTTGTTATCATTTTGGAGCCATAATTTTGGACGCTGGAGATGGCAGGCTGAGGCAACAAAGGAAGAATCATGAAGGGGGGGTATTAAATGGAGTGAGATGAAGGCAGTTTCCTCAAACCTACCTGTACTTGGCATTAACTTCGTCAGCAGCTTTATGGAAGTTCTCTGTGGTGACCTTGAAAAACTGGGCGCTCTGAAAAAAACAGTAAGACAATTCAGAAAAACCTGTTAGCAAGATAGATGCAGATGGAAATAGATCTTTGCACAATAACTTGTTTTTATTTATTTTCATATCCACTGAAAAGATTTCTACTGCAGAAGAGAAGTTTATTTTGGATAGCTTTTGGGTTTCCCTTGTGCCAAACAGTGGTAGTGCACATGAAACTGCATTCTTCAAAGCCCTCAACAAACAGCGTATTTTCAGTTGTCAAGAACTGTCACACTTTTTGACCCACCCACAACTGAAAAATTCTATATAATTATCGCGTTTTAAAAAAGTGAATTCCGTTTCTCATGGGTTAGGAAAAAATTCCAAGAAAATATTTTAAACTTTTTCACCTTTAGGTTTTTGGGGCATGATTATAAATGATGGTTTTATTGTCCATAAATGTGTGTTTGAGCCTATTGCCTCTACAAAAAGACCTTGGCTGTAATACCAGGCAGTAATCCTGTAAGGTCATAGTATTGCTTGTACAATGTGTACAAACAACCCCCTAACCCCATGTCATAATCCCCAAGTGACCAACAGCAAATGAATCCAAAGCGGGACCACTCAACGTGAATGACCTCCTCAGACAACACTATAAGGCAGCTCTCACACTGTTTATACTGCTCTGTGAAGATGTGTTTCTCAGCCCTCAGTGGCTGCTATACACATTTATGATCAAATGGTGAGAGGTCGTCAAGTGTGATGGATGGGTGGCCTGAGTCTTGACTCTTTATCCAGGGATAAAATGAGCAAAATCTATGCTCTCTGACAATGTCTTTCTTGGAATTAAACCCTCAGAAAACGACTGGGGTCGTAGATGTTCTCGATAATGTGATTCAGGCCTGTAGTTTGGCCAACAAACGCAGCAAAGTTTTTATCATTGTGCTCCTGAGGTACGACCTTCTGCGTCATAAGCATTTTAGCTAACTATTGCTAACGCAAGTCTTTGCAACTTGCCAGTTTTACTGCATGCAGGCTACAACACTGGTTTTAGGACAAAGGAAAACCTCTGAAAGTTTGAAAAAAATCATTCGGAAGGCAGTATCGCAAAGACGTTTAACATCAAAAATCATTCAGAAGGCAGTATCGCAAAGACGTTTAACAGAGTGCGTATGAAGCAGCTTTAGCCTGAGGAGCACCTAGCATGAAGGCTAGGAAGTGACAGTGCTTGGATGTTTCTACTTGACAGGCATTTGAAAAGTGCAAGAAGTTCAACAGAAACAGTGAGAAGTGGACAAATCATAAAATGATCTATTTGTGGTCAAGAACCTATGATCTTGCTGACTAGTGCCTTTGAAACCACATGACATTAAGTTTCCTTTAGTTTAAAAATAAACTTTGAGTCAAGAGTAAAAACTGTTGATTTTGATTTCATGTCTTTAGATCAACATAAACAAAACATTATATGAAGGTTGAGTAAAAGACAATGTCAGTGATCACACCATTATCAGTCCTTGGAACCCAATAACAGTCAGTTATATGCGTCAGTTGAAAAAGTCCATATTGTGCAAAGTTCACATGAACAAGAAAAACCTAAAACAAAATGCACTATCCCCCCCCAAAAAATAATACTAGTTTTACACTCCTTGCTTCAGGGTTGTCACAAATGTATCTACAGTTAAAAGGTGATGAATGTAAGCTTCTCCATCTTATCTGCCCCAACTTAACCTCCTTGCGGAGGAGATATTTATCATAGTTTGGAAAAGATCAATAGAAATGAACTGTGCTGCGGAAAAGATCAATAGTTGTGTGTTGTAGAGCTGAAAGAAGATGGGACATGACAACGCTGACAAGAGGTCAGATACAGATTGGTGTCCTCTTCATTTGAATGGAAGACGGTCCAGAAGGTTGTTTCTTCCACACACAGACGTCGATTAAAATCAGGGTCATTGTTCTACATGATGACGCAAATGTATTTTTCTTTCCTATTAGCATACATTTCTGAGGCTTTTTCCGCAACTGTTGTAGAGCTGCAAGTCATTTATCACTCTTGGGGACGCCCTAAGTGAAAGAGTCAAATTTAATTGACTGGAAATTGATAAATGCCCGTGTCCCGTGAGTAACAATTATGTGAGGAAATGAAGAACAAATTTACATTTCCCCACATGATCAGGGAGGAATTTTAGAGACAAACTAATAACATAAAAAATATATTTTTATTACATAAAATGAACTTGAGGAGTTCCAAAATATGCAAAAAGTACATGTGTCTCCTCTGGACATTTAATCTGTCCACTGCAGTTCTCCCTCAGGTTGACTTACAATTGTACGTGAGACACTTATAAAGAGCATTTGCAAAGTTTAAGAGTGAACTTGTAAGCTCTTGCTGTACTGCTGCCCTTTTGGCCTCTAATGAAGTGGCTTTCAGCTGAGACAAATAATCTGTCAAAGGCTACAAAAAAGGGATTTAAAGAGAAGCGTATTCACTGATAACCACGAGAAAAAGTCGGAAATAAAAGATATGGTTGATCCGCTAAAGAGGCAGAAGTAAAAGTTCTCTTAGGGTCCCCAGATTAAGCTACCGGAAGAGTGCGACAGAAGTCAGGTAGAGATGGAGTTTGGTCTCTACAATGCTTAGAAATTTGAATTTGATTGTACCAAATATAGGCCACACCCCCAGCAGAGTTATAGGAAGTAATAAAGGGAAAACCTGGCCTGAAGAAAACCCAGAAACACCAGGAGAACATGCAGAGCCATTTATAAAAAAAAAAAAAAAAAGATCAGTTACTACAAACATTTGAACCACTCAACCACTATGAAAAAAAGATCAGTTACCACAAACATTTGAACCACTCAACCACTATGTGGTCCATTGGTTGTGACCAATCACATTCAATCACATCTAACATTACTCTTTGGTGTTTATTTTGGAATCCAATGATGGACTGGATTGGATGGTCTGCGGATGCAGCCGCAGGACACCAGTTGATGATCACTGATACAGACTTTCATACTATCAGTGTGTCTCCTAACAAACAGTGGCTGTTCATGATATCCATTTAGTTTGTACTGTCTATGGTGGAAACACACAACATCCAAGTGTGTGGACGTGTCACGAGGACTGGTTGAAAACATTAATTCCAGGACCAAAAGAGAATAAATTCAAAATAAATAAAAAACATCAGGAGCCGTAAGACATGGCACGACATTCATTTAATTGAGTTGCTTTCTACGTCAACTGGGGACGGGGGGGGACAAATGTGAAGCTGCTGGAACCTGGTACTGTTTATATATCAGCGTGCAGATGCCATCTCTGGCATCAAACTGTTCTCCTGTTTATTTTCATCCCATTTACTACTATTTGCTTTCAACAGAGTTTTTAAGCTCATCTGCAGCCAGACAAAATGCCCGTGGGGGGGTGTCACAGACAAATTAAGTCATTACTGCTAATGCACTGCAGCGATATGGAGAAGATAGGAGCAGCTCCCCAGCACAGGCTGCAACGCTCAATCTAGAGAAAAGCCATCAATTTTTTTTTTCTCCCAAGAATTAAACTAATACCTCTCTTACTGATGCCTGTCTCTCTGTTATCTGCTGGTGAGCAGCAGGGACAGAGTGTGGAGACACCCCAATATGGCTAACAATAAAGTGACAGCAGAGCGGGAGAAAATGGGTCTTCTGCTGTGTGACTCACTGCAACAAGCTCATAGGGAAGAACAAAAGAGGGACTGGTTAACTATTATTGAGCTTTTTCCTGCAAACACAAAACGGAGTGAGCACTCACAGTTCTGCCTTGAGGGCTGTGACATCATCCCAGTGTGGAGATGTGAGGATAACAGTGTCGCAGAGCTGTCCAAGATCTCCGTGATTATATGTTTACCTTTAAAAATAACACTTATTCAGCCAGAGGTTAATAAATCTGTTAACAGCCAGCTGTCAAAAGTACAAAAGGGCCTGAAAAGACAATCGTTCTTTTATGGACGATTGTCTGAGTGGCACAAAAAATATTGAGGGGAAAACAAGTAAAAATGTGTGAAGACTTGCAGAAAGAAACTTTTTTTTTTTTTTATCATCGACTCAAAGACACTGCAATTAAGTATTTTATAGTGAAAACCTCTTATATGGACCACTTGATGTCAAATACTTTAAAACAGCATCATTACCAAAATGAAGCCGACTTCACCAGAGACAGACGATGACTTAAACACTTAAACCTTGTGAGGTGTTAAACTTGTGGACTTTAATGACCTGAGACGAACCGGGCCCCGCCCCGCTAGTTTGAGACACTTAAGGTTGGTTCATATTTAGGGTACGGTAGAGGGTAGGGTAGAAATAATAATTATGCAAGCTGTCTGTACTTAATATACTTAGCTTAAACACTGTCTTACAATAATAACAATAATAACTGTGGTGAATCTTAGCTAAGTGTAAACCAATGTAAACATTCTCAACAACATGGTTAGGTCAGGTTAGGTCAGGTCAGGTCAGGTCAGGTCAGGGTGCCAACAGAAGCAATACACTAGCACATATTTTCTATTAGGTTTCTTTTACCTAATGTAGATGCAACTAGAGTGTGTTAAAAGTGTGTTACTCGTTTTAATTATTACTCCATTATGGCGATCAAATGCAAAATAAAACATCATGAAGAATAAAATTCATCTGAAGCAACAACTCTGTGCATTCCTCGAATCTTAACTTCTCCAAAGAAACAAAAAAGAAAAATGAAACTTACTATTTCACTTCATATTTTTTTCCCACCAGTGTGCAGGAAAAGTAAAGTGAGGAAAAGAAAGGAGAAAAAAAAACAGAGAGGAGATGAAGAGACCAAGATATCGGAAGAAACAGTGATAAAGCAATAGCAGACATTACTTTGAAAAAAAAAAGGAAAGAAAAAAAAAACTCTACCGCTTGTGTTTCTTTCTTTCACAGAGCTTTGGAACTTGTGCTGTGAGATGGCAATTGCTGCAGTGATTGTCCTCCGTGGGAGAGCAGAAAAATCCAATTTTATCGATACAGCAAGCAAAAGAAAGATGGGGGAGAGGGGATCTTTTCAGAAAAAAAAATATAAAAATTAAATTGAGGCACAGAAGAGGCAAAAAAAAAAAAACACCATTTGAAAAAAGAAAGCAAAGAAGAAAGCAGGCAGAGAGGTTCAGTGTTGGTGGGGCTGGAATAAGACATGGTGAGGGATAAAAAAAAAAAGAGCATCGGTGAGTTGATTGTTAAATATGAGATTGTTTTACAGCGAGGCAGGTATTGAGTGAAAATGTAATAAATATATAGATATTGTTTTCAGGGGTTATTTTGCGGCCGTGGTCTGAATGGGCGTCAGCAGCAGGCTGAGCTGTCTGCAGGCCTGGTGATGGCCTGTCACTGGAAGCCCCTCTGATGAATGGCCATGTTAGATTGGAACAGACATGTAATATATATCAGACCTATATTCTCCCTCACTCTATCATTTTCTTTCCCGCTCTCTCTCTCTCTCTCTCTATCTTCTTTTCGTGTCTTTCTTTGTGTGTTTGTGTGGTGGTTTGGAGTGTGATTCTAGAAAAGTCCTTAGGTGGCACTGAGGAACAGTAAAAGAACTCAAGTGAAGCCTGGGAAGGAAATGTGATAAGATAATAAGCTGTCAATGCACTCTGCTTTAAAATCAAATCCGTCGTCATATCCCGTAAATTAATTAAGAAAGTCTTGTTCCATCATTCCAACGTACAGCATTAAAATTTGCCAACTAGTTTGAACAGGGTATAGTCGGAGCGGGAAGCTCACAAATACATCATCACGTGGCACTATATATGGAGGAGGGCTTTATTTACATTCCTGGTCTTAAACATGTATATACATATAGATATATACATACATATACACATATATATATATATTTTATATATATATTATTGCATGAAAATAACAACAGCACAAGGACTTTCTTATTTTTGCAAGGAGGACTGCCATCACACACCTCACACATTTCTTTCCTAAAGTGACACAACAGCCATCACTTAAATCGGCCATGTAAAAACTCAGATCTGGTCGGTGTAAAAAAAAAGTACTTTATGTTGAAACATAAAAGTCTAATTCTGTATTATATTTCATTCTGCTTCAGAGTCGGGTCCGACACAACAGCCATCACTTAAATCGGCGTTTATGTCGGCCATGTAAAAACTCAGATCTGGTCCTAAGACTTGAAGAAAGTCCTATATTTAAAAAAAAAAAACAAAAACAAATAAAAAAACTTTGATATACCATGGTTGATTCCCAAACCAAAGATGCACATGTGGTTTACTCAAGGGCTTCACTTTGCAGCCCTACAGTATAATGTACAGTGAGATGGCTCTGTCCATTACTCCTATGTGGTCGGAGGAAAGACCACGTCATCAGGATGCGATATTACTAATGCTTTCAGTGAGACATTTTTGGGTTTTGAGTGGTTTTGAGTTTTACAGCTTTTATATATATATATATATATATTTATATATATATACTATATATATACGGTATATATATATATATGCATATATATATAATATATACATATATATATATATATATATATATATATATGTATATGTATATACACCTTGTCCACATTCCTGGATTTCACACTGAATTTATTTATTTTTTTTGCCCTCAGTCTTTATTTTCTAAACTCTCTCCATGTTTATCATTCAGTTCACATTTTCCCTTTTCATCACTCTTCAGTCTCTTCTGTCACTCTGGGCTTCCCCTCGTTCTCACTCTCCATTACTTAGAAATGTCACTTTATTATAAAGTATTTTGAAAACCTTCTCAGGTCACATCTGTTTAGTTCCCTGTCCGCTCCTTACACTCATTCTTCCACCCCGTTGTTCACTCTCTCCTCTCCTTTTAAGGCTCCATTCTACACATGGCATCTCTCTCTTCTTCTCTCTCAATCTTCTGTGTCTCTGAGGTGTGAAGGTGATTAGTTGACATTTTGATCTAAGGAATATTGACCAGAGGCCAGCATTGCTGATGGATGGCCAGCGCCTCCAGTCAATAACGCCTGCGTTACTCGGGACTCATCACTTTGACCATCAGCACTTGCGTTGGCTCCCGTACAGTAAAACACAGACAAAAGAGCTGAGCTAAGGTCATGAGAGCCGGGCTAGGAAAGTCCAGGAGAATCAGTTTCAAAAGAATCCACCAACTAACTGTCATACTTCTTTGCATAGACCACATTCAAAGATCCTCTCTGGTGTCATAGAGTAACGACTTTTCTATGTGAATGACCCATTCAATAAATCATTTACAGCCTGGTTGCCAATAAATGGGTTTTCTCTCTGCTGCTCAACCAAACAGGTGCAAACCAATGACCTCCACGTTAGTGAGATAAGCCAGAAACTGCTCAATGATTGCTTTCAAATTAAATAACACTTATGTATCAAAATATCCACAAAGAGCTTAAAAAAAAAAAAGGTGAAATAATTGGCTAGAAATCTGCCCCTGCAGGCCTCACTGTGGAGGGCATTTGACTTTTTTGCTCTCTACAAAGGGGAGAAAACTCCTTCCCAGCGTGAAGGTGTCATTTTAAGCATTTAAACAGGGCCATGTCTTCTCCCCAGGACACACTTATGATTTAAGAGCAGTGTGAGACTGTCCCTTTAACACAGCTGAACAGAACGTTTGACCCTGGCCCCTCCGCTTTGTGCGTTGCGATTAGGAGAGTGCTGGTACTCGAAGCGCAGCGGCCGATTCCCGAGCCACACGTGCCACAGTGGTTTGACTGTGAAAATCAGGGCTGTGTCATTTTCAGGGACACAGGGAGATAAATGAGATTTAACCCAGTGTCCTTTAGGTGAAAGAACAGATGATCGGACGGTGAAGAAAATGAAATAGGACGCATCACGGAGAGAAAGAGGAAAAAAAAAGTCACAGGCTGATAAGACAAACAGTGGGGCAGTGAAGTGGAAAGAACAAATAAATGTGACGTTACTCTGGCTGAGCCTCATTATGACCAAGCCGACTGTAGGAGTGTGCGTCAGTGCAGTCTTTCTATACCACACATACACAGTGCAATGAAAACACATTACACTTGGGTTTTCAATGTGTGTCCAGACAGCTGCTGGCTATTTCCATTTAACCCATGTGGGGTCATTTAGACCCCAAATAAAATACGACTTTTTGTAGTTGGTCCTAAATTTCACGGTTAGGTTGCACTGAATTCTGACATATTGTGAAACACTAAATTAAATAACATTTATTACTACGGTATGTAACTTTAAACAACTAGAAGGGTCACTTTTATCCACAGAGAACCAAAGGGCATCATGTGGGAGGCCATTATGAGGTTTTTGAAATCTCAAAGAACTTACACTAGGTTACATTTTATCATTGTATCTTGTATATTTTTTGACCTGTTCCTTTATTATTAGTTGCCACAGTCAAATATAGCAATCTTCAGGTGATTTCGAGACACCGTCAGAGTGGCTAGGTACTGTGTGGATTCAAACACCTAACACTACACCATAGGTCGACTCAGGTCAATGCTGAGTCCTCAACCTGTAACGACCTCGCAGCAACTGTTAATTTGAATTCCTCTTCTATTAATTTCAACTGGAATGATAATGTGGATGTCTATTTAAAAATTAAATTGTCAACCTTTTCCTTTTAAATTAAAAAACTTGACATTTGATTAAATCTGCATTTGTTTTCACCGGTGTTTGACACTGACGGAGTTGCTACGTATTTTGTTGTGTTTTATTGTCTTTTCATGTCTCTGATGTCAGTGTTGGATTTACTGCTGTTCTTACATGTACATAATAAATAAAACAGATTTCAAATAATTATGTAATTATGTGTCATGTAAAACGTGATCAACAAGAGAAATCAATTACAAAAATTCAAATTAATAGAGCTAAAACTTTTACGAAATTAATCCTCAGTTCTTCACAACATTTGTCTCGTTTTATTCATTTTCTATTGTTAACATTCACTTCATTTTTTCCCCTCTGTGGAGGTTTTATTTACCTGCACTGGCAGAAAAAAAATTAATTAATCCGAGAAGACAAGTGTAAACAATCAGTAAAATACTCATGTTGGCCGAGCTAACAGCCGATTATATCTTTGGTTTGGTTAGGACTGGTGCGATCAGAGGATCCCACAGTGTAAACACGGTCTTACCCTCTCCTCCAGCCGCGCCACCTGCTCTCTGTAGAACGCATCCTGTTTCTTCAAGTCGGCTTCTCTGGCCTCCAGCTGCTTGGCCTAAACACACACAAACAACACACAAAACAAGAAGCGCTATTACTTCACTGCTCAGTGGAGCATTACCAATTTCAACAAAGTAATCAAAATATACACAAGTCCACGTACACAGGAGAGACTCACAACAGCAGCTCAGGATCAATGTGTGAATAGAGCCGACACATGGTCACAAAAAACAGACGGAGGTTTTTGTTATTTGGGCTCAAAACGCTACGTGCACATTGTGTGAAACGCAGTCAAAAACCCCACATACGTCAGGAGTGATGAGGCCTTGAAAGTGCACCGTGATCTGTTTGTCCCTTCGTGGTTAATCTTCAGCCAAACTGCTATCCAGCTGAGAGGATAACATCAGTATAAAAAGTGCAGCACACTCTGTATATATTTAGCTAGACTACATATCTCCACTGTCCTCCACTCGGCTTCGACCTTCACTAGACGTACGGCTGACTCTCTGGGTGATATACAGGGCCGATAAGACCTGGATGTATCCGTTCTCAGACAAAACACACCTTTACTGGGCAACAGTGGCCCAGAAGGACGTGTCCATTTTGCACCTACATTAAAATATCAACCACCAAAAGCTAGACAGCAACACAGAGACAATCCTTTCGACCTTGATTAACAAAGAACCCCGACGTACTGCTCTTTGTCCAACTCGTTTTCTATTTCTAAGTGGCAAACGCGGGTGAAGAGTTTGCACTGTCAAGTCTCGTACGGCATCAGAAAGCAGCTCAACTTGTCGTCTCATCTATAATTCTACAAAGCGTCGGAGGAAGAGAGCTGTAAGAGAAGGGATAATCAAAATATGAAGCTGCTGAAGAAAATCCCTGCTGCAGAGGAAAATGGAAGATGTCAAAGGCAGAGGAAATCCTGGACTTGATCGTGCGGGAAGAGTGGCGGGAAAAAAGAGAAAGAAGCGAGAACGCTTCTATTCACAGTAGAGGTGAAGGCCTCCACACTTAGCTTCAATCCAATCTACTGAATAACAGAGCAGAGAAAAGAAACTGTAGAGCGTTAAAGTTTAGAGCGACGCTGATTCATCCATGACGTTCTTTAAATTTACGTTTGGAAAGGTTTTCATTTTCGGGAGTTAAAGGTGACTGGCTGATACTGCGTTCTGCTCAAGTACTCATTCAATCCATCTCCTCGATCACCGGCTTACTGACATCAGGGATACAACACATCACACACAGTACATATGAGCCTTGAAAACTGTATGGACTGCTCATCTACAGCAGAACTGAGCTCCATGAAAAACCTCCTTTTCTTATTTAACAGAGGATTCACTTTTTTGCAATCATCCCCTACTATAGTACTTTTAAAGAAAATGATCAAATTGTCATTAACCTGCCTTGATCCCCCACAGAGACCGTGCTCCTCACTTTTAGAACCACTAAATGCCACTAAACCACTAAATGCTGACCAGATAAACACAGGGTAAGTTTACGTTTCACAACTGTTTTTATTTGTGACTATTCCAAATTATATTAATTTGGAAACAACCCTACATGCTTTTGAGTTCACCTGTTCTGCCTTTTACCTAAATGACTATTTTCCTGACTTTTTTTGACCTGACTATTTTCTTCTAGTTTTGTTTTTCCGATTCTTTCTTTGCCTTTTTACTTCATTTTGTGGAGACATCTCGTCTCTCCAATGAATGTTATGACACATAGTAGAATTGGCCTGATTCATGTTATCCCAAAAAAAAGCATTTATTGTTTTGATGTATTGTATCCTGATGATGTACCAGCAGTAGTAGAATCAGCCTAACTTGATTGACTAGAAGTTAGCTTCACGCATATCTCCATAATCTTTAATGGTACAGAAATCGATTTTTGACTTAATGTGTTATATTGTAATTTGGACAATATAATATCAGAAGTGAGTCAACACACTTGTGTACAGAGGACATGTCCTTTATAAGTCCCTCAAACAAGTGGATGATTCAAACAGGTCCTCAGAGAAAAGGTGGCACAGATTTGGACAAAACAGATCACACTGACTGAAGGTGCCAAAAAACTGTCTGCCACCAACAGCTCTATTTAGGAGGAAGAGGGGACATGAGATGATGGGGGTCTGAGGGACCTGGTGGGGGGTTGTCTACTGTTGCAGGTTTGTCCAAAGTCACAGTAACGCTGATAGGTGGCGACTGCAGAGTTTAGCTTGACGGAGGAAGACAAAAAGATGTGCACAGGCGCCAGACACAAACAACGGCTCAGACACAAGTCGTCAGCCCTCACACCAGTCGGAGCAGCTGTACCCACAGAGAATGGGTGGAGAGATAAATGTGTGCTGAAGGCGAGACTAAAGGGGTCAATAAAGGAGAGGGCTAGTGACAGATATGTGTGTCCGGGGATTTGCCTTTTTTTGCCCACTGTGTGTGTGTGTGTGTACACATACATGTGTGCATGTGTTTGGTTTCCATGTGAGCAGGTTGGCCTATTTGATGACACACACACACACAGGTCCAGACACACTTGATGTCAGGATTACTTCCGACTGATTAACCTCATTCAGTGGACTTTAAAGATAATCTAATCATACTACAGGCCAAACAATGGGGCAGACTTCACTGCTGCCCATACTTTTGTTCCCCTAATGAAGAGGCGGTCGCACGGTGAAAAACAGGAGAGGTAGGATAAGGGTGGGGGCAGGAGGGCAGAAAGAGAAGGGCAAAATTAAGAGGGAAAATGAAAGTGAACTTGAGTGTGGACAGAGCTGAGAGATAAGGAATGAAGAGGGCTGGACAATACCAGGCGATTCATCACTGGAGGTGTCAAAATGGGAGATGTTTTGCAGCGGTGACGATATGGACTGTGGAGCCTCGGCCTTTACTGACTCATAATGCCTGCATAATGTAAATATATGAAGAAATAACTTCAACATTTCTTGGAAATTAGGTCTAAAAAATGTTTGATAAATAAATGTGTAGAAATATACATTTTCACAGTGCCTTTTATATGTTACATATTTATAAAAAAAATTATAAAAAAAATACATTTATGACATCGTAATTATTATTTTTTTTAAAAAATTATAAAAAAATACATTTATGACATCGTAATTCAATTTTCCTTTAATTTTTCAACTCTGGTTCCAAAAGACGTGTTTTTATTTTGTAAAAAGACGTCCACCAGCAAAGGCAATCGAAAGAAATTGCTACCTACATTTTTTGCTAAATTGCTAAATTTCAAACGAGGAAATTAGATAAGAAAAAAACGAGGAGTCACATCTGTCCATACATCCAACTATTCATCCATCCATCCATTCCACTTGATACTGGGAGTCAACTCTGCTAAAAACCTACATTTCAAATGCTTTCAGTTCAGTAGGCAGAAAAGACACTCATTAAGGCTGATTTTGCTTAAAACAGTCCTTTAAAATGGGGAAATCCCCCAAGTGAAAGGCAAACTTTGCAGCATCATTCCCACATGCTGCTTTTTGTACCCCCGGAAACCAAATTACCATCAACAGTAAATGCTTTACATCCCCCCCCACCCCCACCCCGAGTCTATTAGTAAGTACAGTAGCACAATGGCTGAGGGTGACAGCTGGCTCAGAGTGAGACCATGGTGGTCAGATTAAACGGATCGTTTAGGCGAGGTGAACGCCTCTGTGAATATCAATTAGCCAGCCGCTGAATAATTAAGGACAGGCATGTTTTTTAATTAGCTGACTGCCGCAGTTGGGCGGAGGAGAGAGGGTGAGGGGAACAGTTTTGCTGCGTCAGACCTCACCCTCAGCACATATGTACACTGACTCTCTCTTATTTGCACCCGTGCACTATTTCCTTCACACCTGCCAAGTCATTAACAACTTTCTCCGACACTGTCTGTTGTCTTTTATTGCACTCCTAGGGATTTAAATAAGTCTGACTCCGTCCGCAGTGTTCAGTAGCCATGGAGTGACTGCATGGCTGAGTGTGCTGCATTACTGCTGCTTTTGCAATTAAAGAGTTAAATCTTTTCAAAGTCAATGCCTGCAAATAACCTTAATTTTAAGACGAGGAATAATCAAGCGATAAAAAAAAACTTATGGCCCAAAAATGGCTAAAGAAAACCCACTGGAGGCAGCCTGTCAAATTAAGACCTTGAAAATTTAGTTTGCAGCTTAACAAATATAGTAAAATTTGACCCATGTTTAAAGACAAAAAGACAAAGACAAAAGTCAGGTTAAGTGGAATATTTTGTTGGAAGAAAAGTCAGGTTAAGTGGAATATTTTGTCAAATTTTGGAGGATTTTTCTGCTAATATTCAATTCAACAACTCACAAACATAATTAGTCCAGAATATTTTGATTCTCTTCCGGCAACTAGAAATCTATCAGACAACCCAGAAAAACATTTGGAGATTTCTGACCCTTGCCTGTCGGCTATTAACCTCAACAACTATAACTCCAGTGAATGACAGTAATAAAAGTGACACCATGCCGATCCTCTTCCAGATAAAAAAAAATACTGTTTGTGACTATAACTGTAGCAATTTCATACATTTTTCATTTTTCATTTCATGCCTCGATGATGAAGACCTCTGTGATGTTGAATAATGAGGTGACACATCACTCCAGTGTATGATCACCACGTGCTATTAAATCATGGCAGATGAAAACAATCTTGGAAGACGCAGTGATCGATAGAGCGCAAATCAGACCTCATCACATTAACTAACAGCACCTCATCTATAACCTTGGTCTCTTTTGTCTACCTTCAGCTGCCATCGCCTCGGCCCTGATTCTCCCCTTGTCAAAAGTAGCATCATAATCAATGCTCCCTCACACACTGTCCACGTGAGAGCTGCAGCTTGTTGGGTCAGAGCTTCTCAACGAGACCCCATCTATCACAGACCTGAGCGACAGAGTTCCGCACGCTCCGAAAGGCAGGGAGGAGAGGTCAGAGGGCAGCACGTTGTGACCGTGCGCCGGCGTTAATTGGCATGATGGGAGTGTGGGAGGCTTGTGGGAGGGTAAGGATTGATTGAGATATGGGAAGAAAAGTTTGGTTT